CAAAAGGGACCACCTCCAAATTCTCCAAGGTTGATATCATATGCCTCCTATGGATGAAATTGAACGCTATGGGAGAAATCTCTGCATGGATGAACTATCCACCATGTAGGGAAGCATGAATACCTTGGAAAAGAGGTGGATCCCAAAAGGGATCACCTCCGAATTCTCCAAAGTTGACATCATATGTCTCCCTTAGGTGAAGCTGAATACCATGGGTGAAACTTCTATATGGATGTATGATCACTATGCAGGGAAACTTGAACGCTTTTAAAGGGAGCACCCAAAAAGGAACTTATATTCAAACTTCCGAAGATGACCCTAAAAAACGCTTCATCTTTACTTCAGCATAAACATCAAATTTCAGCAAATTAAATCATAACTTCAGCACTTCAGAGCTTCGTCTTTGCATCAAATTTCAGCCAAACTAAAACATCATTTCAGTCTCTTCATAAAAACTAAACATTCAAATTAAGGCTTCTACAAAAATTAAAGCTTTTCCATGAAAGTGTAATATTAGGCTAAACAACCAAGTCAAGCAAAGGACATGCTATATTAGAATATTACTCCCCAAAATAAGAAGTCTACGCATGATATAAATAATCATACATAGACTCAGAGGGAGAGGGGACTATTTTTTCACCTCAAAATCGATACTCAAGAAGAAGCCCACACCTCAAAATTGAAGCACTATGTAAGCGGCTGAAGCCTTGAAGTCGAAGCGTAGGCACTGAGCCGGAGCACTATCTAAATGGCTGAAACTCCGAAGTTGAAACACTATGTAAATAGTCGAAGCCCTAAAGCCGAAGCATAGGCAAGTGGTTGAAGCCTCGAGTCGAAGCACTAAGTGGCTGAAGCACTATACAAGAAGTCATAGAAGAAGCCGGAGATCTCTATCATGAGCTCTTCACACCGAAGACCTCCAATATGAAACTCCCTTCGGCTAAAGCCCTTGCTGTCTTTTAGAGGATTTGCATGCAATTTTTAAGAATGATTAATGTAACATTTGTAATAATGAATCTCAAGATTGTCAGCATAGGGTATAAGGTGGCTAATCAATTATCAATGTATTAAATGTATAGCAGATTGAGTGACATGAGGCTTTGATCTGGAAAATGAAGCCACATGGTTCTTATCCGATGGTTACCATTTGGTCCAGAACTCTATAAATAAGCAACTCTTGTAACATTTGAAGCTAATGCAACTCTTTACACTTAAAACCACACTAGGTTTTCTCTCTTGCTTATTCCATATTTATCTATTTGATTTAGCTTGTCTTTACTTGGTTGGAGTTGTTTGTAATTGTTTGTTTATATACAATCATCTTTGATCATATTGTCTGTACTCGAATATTTTTGCCTCGCGTGATAGAGTATTTCCCATATCCATAAACGTCATCCTTTACGTTCAAATCTTCGATCAAAACATGTTGGATTTACTTGTGTGGACGCGAATGAGGCTAACATCTTTTGTTCACATAACTATTATGAAAAAGGGGCCAACACTTACTATTAACAGAATGACACTTATGATAAAGCGCATTGGCCATTAGAATGAGGTCACGGGTCTTTTCATCCCATGGTCATTATTTCTCCCATTTTTACTAGAAAAGCTCACACATTGTGGCATTTGAAGGTACTACAATTTTATACACTCAAGTTGTAACTTTGCTCTCTCATTACTCTTTATACCTTTCCCAATCCGAACACCTTTTACTAGTGGCTTATGTCTTAGCACGTCCTACACTTAAATACTCACTTATATATAAATTGACTTGACCGTTGAAGTTCTCGTGATCGCCTCCCCACCATCGAAGAAGGCTATGTACTTTAGCAGTTTGTCCAAATGTGCAGGATGAGCTACATGGACGTAAGAGGAGTTGTGATATGTTGGCCACATCATTCCCACAAAAAATGAGGTCAACAGATTGACGCCTCTACCATGGATGAACCCAGCCACCATATAAGGAAGCCTAATTGCTTCAGAATGAGAGGTTTGAAACACCCAAAGGAGGCCACCCTTAATACGTACGAAGGCGAAGCCTTCCATTGATTAATCATCCACTATAGAAGAAGCATTTGGCATGGATGAACTATTTACCATGCAATGAAGTTTAACCACTTCTAAATGAGAGGTACGAAGTACCACAAAGTAGACCCACCTTGATAGCTACGAAGATAAAGTATTTCATGAATGAACCATCCACCATGGAAGAAGCTTTAGGCATAGATAAACCATTAACCACGCAAAGAAGTTTAACTGCGTTGAAGGGATAGATGCAAAGCACCCAAAGAAGGCACACCATGGTACCTACAAAGACAAAGCCTTCCACGGATGAATCATGGAAGAAGCCCTTGGCATCGATGAACCATCCACCATATAAGGAAGTCAAACTTTTTTCGAAAAAATGAAATATGAAGCGCCTTAAAAGCTGGCTCTACACCAGCGGGCTCGCCCTCTTAAAGGGGACTCACCTCAAGTTCAATTAAACCTAATCAAAGGCCACATCTTTACCCACAAGCTCATTCATGCTCGTTCTCATGTAAGGGCCTCGCCCAAGTTTAGTTTAGCCTTATCAAAGGCTGCCTCTTCATCAACAGGCCCGTCCTCATGCAAGGGTCTCTCCAAGTTCATTTCAGCCTTACCAAGCCTGCCTCATCATCAATGGGCTTGTCCTCATGCAAGAGCCTTGCCCTTTACCAATGGGCTCGCCCAAGTTTATTTCAGCCTTATCAAAGGCCGCATCTTCAACAAAAGGCTCGCCTAAAAATCAGGTTCACACGTTGCCATGAAAAATCTACCCATATTGTACACCTCAAGTCCACGCATTATATAAATATCCATGCTTCGACTTGCGGGATTATTGTGCTATGTTATCCGTTTGCAAGTAAGGGCAGTTAATAAAGCACAATTTCAACAAACACGAAAAACTCCACAACAAGGCACATTCTCTTCAGAATCAGAACATGCGACACGAACAAGACAACGCACTTTGACCCAAAAAAGTTTAAGCTCTTCAGAATCAGAACATGCGACACGAACAAGATAACGCATTTTGACCCAAAAAAGTTTAAGCATTATATGAATATTTATACCTGGATTTTGGGGGCTATTATTACACCTCTTTCAGCAAGGCTCCAAAAAAGGGTCATGTGGCAACCACAAAGTGAACTTGAGACTACAGTTATCATTTCACTTATGTAGCAATTTCTATCAAACTCTCATGAAGAGGTCGAACCATATAGATGGTCGAACCCATATGGCAGGGCCAAACCCTCGTGGATGAAGCGAGGCAATATGAGGCGCTATATAGGATCTTCCGTACAAAATCTTTTATGATTGATTAATGTGAACACTCATACAGAAGCCACTTTACTAAATCAATATGCCATATGGGAATGACAAAAAAAACCCCAACAAACCTGATACCCATGGGGCGCGCCCCGAACGGGGTGGGGATAACCCGCTTAATCGGGTATTCGAGATGGGACGAAGAATTTTGCCTCGGAGCGGGAAGGGATAACAGACACCGCACCCCGTTTAATTTTTTTTTTAGAATTCAATACTTTAGATATAAAATTTCACGAATCACGAAATTTCATTAGTTATAATATAAAATAGCAACTAAAATTATTTGTCTAAGTTTAATGAATGGGGGGCAATAAAAATAAATTATCAAAAACTTAAAAAAAAAAAAAAAATTAAACGAGGTAGTAAACAGGGCAAGGATCTCACCCTGCCCTGCCCAAAAAAAAATTTCACAAAATTTCATTAATTCTAATAGAAAATGACAACTAAAATTATTTATCTCAATCTAATGAATTGGGACAATAAAATAAATTATCAAAAATTAAAAAAAAAAAAAAATTAAACGAGGTAGTAAACAGGGCAAGGATCTCACCCTGCCCTGCCCCGCCTTAAACGGGTAACGGGGCAAGGACGGAGCGATGAATTGCTTGATAGGGCGAGGGGGTTGGGAAGGTTGCCCCGTCGTGCCTCGTTGTCATCCCTAATATTATACAACCTCGGCCATAGGTCTACCAATGGTCAGAACATTAAATTCGCCTAAGCCTAAGATTGACAAAATGATGTCTATGACAAGACGCTTCGACTGTTAAGATGAGGCAAGGAACTTCTTCATCTAAAGGTTATTATTTCTCCCATTTTTACTACAAAAGCTAATATACATTGTGCCATTTAAATGTAATACAATTTTATACACTTAAGTTATAACTTTGCTCTCTCATTACTCTCTGTACTTTCCCAGATTTGAACCTCTTTTACTTAGCGGCTCACGTCCCACACTCAAATACCCACCCATACAGATTGACTTGATCGTTGGAGTGCTCGCAACCACCTTTTCCACGACTAGATAAGGTTATGTGTTCTAACAGTTCGTCAAAGTATGCAGGAAGAGACTATGTGAACATAAGAGGAGTTGAGATCTGTTAACAACATCTCCCCCACGAAAAACGATGCCAACAAAAACTATGGTTGTATGTATATGAAGAACATGTGGTTTATTGCTGGTTATCTAATGAGCACATTGAAATATTTTCTTAAGAATGGGTGTGTGGCTGTGGGTAACAAATGTGTTTTTGCATATTAGTTTTGATTTTGATTGGGGTTTGGAGGTAGGTGGCGTGGACTTCTCTCTTTAAAAAAAAAATTTATTTTATTTAAGAAAATGTAAAATTATCATTTTATTGTTTTAAAATTAATCAAACTATGATCAAAGCAAATTTTTTTATCAACTAACGATCATATGACTACAACCAATAAATGTTTGGAATTGTGAATGTCACAAATAAAAAGTTAAGATAAAAACCACGATCCAATAAAAAGCTAGGAATCGCAGCTACCATTTTCCCTTAAAAGATTCGGGATAAAAATGAAACATAGACATTATGCTGGGGACTACGTAGTTATTTTCCCTTTCAATTTCCCATTTTAGGGTTAGACATTTTATTAGCGCTGCCACCCACTCAGTCCATAACCAAACGATGCTGTGTGTCAGCACAAGAGCCGGGTCAGCTCGCACACACTTCTTGTCCTACTGCTTCTCCGCCGCCACCTCCTTTTCCGCCGCCACTCTCAAGCCTTTTCATTACAAACCCTTCAAATCCCATTTCCATCCCTCCATTAAAATGCTGTCATCATCCAATTCCGATCCAAATCCCAAACCCAGTGAATTCGTCGAACACGTTGTGCTCTTCAAAGTCAAGCAGGATGCCGATCCTTCTGCAATCAACGCCATGGTCAGCAACCTCAACGGATTGACCTCGCTCGAGCCAGTGCTCCACCTCAAGGCAGGACCAATAGCCCGCATTCGATCCTCCTCTCTCTCTTTCACCCACATGCTCCACTCCCGACACAGAACCAAATTCGACTTGGGATCCTACGCAGACCATCCGGCCCACATTAGCGTCGTGACGAACTACATCAAGCCCATCATCGACGACATCATGGCCGTCGACTGGGTATCTGATGACGTCACGGGTTCGGTGATCGTCCCCAACGGGTCGGCCATGAGGCTCACGTTTTTGAAACTCAAGGATGGTGTTGAAGAAAGTGGTAAAAACGAGATATTGGGAGTGGTTAAGGGGATTAAGGACAAGTTTCCATCGATCGAGCAATTGAGTGTTGGGGAGAACTTTTCCCCAGGGAGGGCGAAGGGATTTTCAATTGGTTCAATTGCAGTTTTCAAGGGAATGACTGAATTGGAGGCTCTGGATTCGGATTCAGAAGTGGCGAATGAGCAGAAGGACAAAGTGAGGGAATTTCTTGACGGCGTCTTGGTGTTGGATTTCCTTTAGGGATGCAATTGGCTTTTCATTTTTATATGTTATGCTGATTATAATAAAACTGTACTTTTTGCTCGACATCTTTCTTGGCTATTACTAGCACAGTTGATTTCCTTAATTTATCAATCTCATGTTTAGATGAATCTTATCGTTGGCTTCCCGAGGTGTCAATGAATCGAGCCGAGCAGGCTCAACCCTTAAACAACCAAGCTTGTCTCTGTGGGACAAGCCGACTCGTTTCTTAATTTTTTAAAAAAATTAATCAAATATGCCGAAACCATCAAGTATAAATCATGTGGAATACTAATTGTTTTTTCTCTATTTAATACACGATAACAAGTATTTCCACAAATGCTTAATTGATTTGTTCTAACGAAGAATAAATAAGATTACATTTGAACATACAATGGCTGCATTGCCATACCATATCATCTTTCTGTAGACAACGAAAACCATCAAGCAAAACTGGCATATTAACCTAGGACATAAAAAACAACAGTGTTTCCCTCCCTTTCGAAAAGAGGAAAAGCACTTTAAAAAATCACAAGGACTCCGGACTAGTTGAGGGTCTGATTTTTGATGGCATCTGGACAAATCCATGTATTCTGCCTCCGAATTTTGCGCTTGAATCTCTAGGCGTAATTGACATTTTGTCTAGAGAGTAGTCAAATTCATCAAAATGAGCATTGCCCTCATCATCACTAATGTTATCTGCCATGTTGATCCCAGCCTCGTCAATATCTTCATCACTTGCACTTTCATCCTCCTCGTCTTCATAGTAACTACTTCTTACCATTGACCAATACACGAAATTTGGTCGGATGAATCTTCATGACAATTAAGAAAGGCGAGTATAAGTTTCGATATACAGAAGCAAAAAACTGGTCATTTTCTTCTTAGAATGGACTTTTCAATTTGCCAAATAATGATTCAACTTCCTAAATAAAGTAGGCATCTACAGGCTTAGGGAAGTACTGAAGTACAGTTGAAGCAAAGACAAACCTGTCAGATTTCCTTAACAAGCAGGGATCAAAAGGGAAAAACATGTCGAGCCTTTCTACCCCACCAAATGCCCGCGAAAGTTCAGATTCTAGCATACCATAATCTGCAGAGGTGTCTGGCACGGCAAATATTTGATTTATTTTTGCCAACCGGAGAAATTCTTCTACTATTGATGGCAGGCATACCTGCTCCAGAAAATTGAAGCAATGGACCAGAGTTAACAGCCTACTGTGGAGATCAATACATATCCTCAAGCCAAATACGAAATCAGGATTAGATAAAATAATCACGCGCTAACATCAATACATGTGCACTCAAAACAGAGGACCCATAGACAACTATAGGCTAAACTTGACAAAGTTCATACTTCATACAACATTTCACCTGCAATGGTTTCAAAGGATGCCTAAGGATGTCCTCAATATGCATAAGAAGAAGTTGAGATCTGAGGCGAGGAACAGAAATCATTGATCTCATGCGAAAGCAAAGCACGTACATAATGGCCTGCATGCAACAAAAAAGTCATCAACAAACAATTTCCAGTAAATTTGTTGGATATTTGGAACAAAATTATACAAGTAGCCAATGAAATCATCAAGACTATGTTTGGCCCCCATTTTTTCAAAAACTCAGTTTTCCAAAACTCATTTCCAGCCACACATTCTCCCATAAAATAATTTTTCATGCAAACCGAAAGCTTTTTCTTATCTTTTAACCTCACATTCTCCAAAAAAAATCACTATTTCAAAACACGTTTTCTTTCAAAAATGGGGCTTAAACAGGTGCTAAAAAAGCTATACTGGAGATACAGTGTCATTTTAAGTTACAGTCTGATTTGGCCCTTAATATAGAAAAGTGTACACACAATATGTACTGAAAAACAAGCTTATTGAGTTGTATCCTGCAAATGGTGCAGGCAACATGTTCCCATCAGGCAAAACCCATGCCCACAAACTTAGGGACACCATAAAAAGCAAATCCAAATGACAACGCTTATTCCACCTCCGAAAGTACTCAATACTATTGAGTACTAACAAAACTGGTGAAAGATACAGGTAAGAGTTATAACTGACCAAAGAACATAATTTTTAAACGATACCAGGATTCAGGAATGGTTCAAAATTTTGAGATTCTTCAAATTCAATTACATATCAAGACTTTATACCTGGCAACCAGCATAGAAGACTTTATGAGCTTTGGCATTAATGTCACCATCCTGGTTATTGCAGTAATCAAAACACCACTTCACCAAACTGGAACCTCGCATAAGATAAAGATACTCAAGTCAGACATTTAAATTCCATTCTCTGATTTTTCTTTATCCACGAGCAAGTCGGATAATTGACAACCTTTCCAGTGTAGTAGCAACAAAGGAGGGAGCCACAAACTTTGCACGAGACAAATAACTAGCAAGATATGAAACAGCACTCATTCTGCAAGAATCCCAAAAAGAAAAATACGTAACTTGTTAAGTAACCTTGATAACTTAGTATAAAGTATAAACAAGAAGCTTGACACCACAACTGGAAAAGAAAATGAATAAAAGTATACATTTGACTTTAAAACATAATTCTATTATTGACCACAAATAAATGAAACCACAATTTGTCAAACAGTGCAAATAAAGAATAATGTGTTAACAGTCTTGAGACTCTTGCCCATGAGAAAAAGGGAAAGAGGGAGAAGAAGAAATCCGATTGAAGCAAGAGACCCATGCAATTCACAAAATCTTGGTGTTATATGAAGTAAAAACACAATGAACATATGGCTAATTATAGAAGAGCAAGGCACAAAAAGAACGGTATTAACTATTTCTAATAATATTTCTCAGAAACCAATAAACAATTTCATACTATTTTACACCGCGCATGATGAAAGTTTCAAGCCTCTCTGCATTCATACACTGGATTGTTATTGTTACTAGAGAAGTCTCCAACACAAAATTTATGGTCTCATTTGAGATGAGATTAATATATAATGAAGTTTTCCAATTTAAAAAGGCATAATGTAATTAACATAATCATCTCATTTACATGCATAAGCTAGACTTTCTTTATGAAACATGGGTAACAGTCTGTTCATATTTGAGAACAGAAAATTATGAGCCACAACATATTTGATAAGTATTTATTATAATGTAAAAAATCTATGCACCTTTACATTATATTGTGTAGCAATTGCATTCTCTTATGTCTGCTGAGATCGAGAATGTTATAAATTTTAAAATGAAGCTCATCTACTAAATCAAAAAGTGGATTCTGATAGGTGCATCATACACGTATACGCATGAGACACACAAGGCACACACTTAATTCAAAAAGTGATCTTGATATTTACCTCCATGCAGGATAGACACCGCTCACAAAAATATTCACAAGTGTGCTTGCGAACATCTTTCCACAATTTTCAGGATCCAGGGAGCAAGCGTAGAACATCACAAACTACAAAAGATGCGAATCTTTGAGCTAACAGAATGGTTAAGAAAACACGCTACCAGTACATGGGCCAGAAAAAGAGCCAATAGGTTTCATAGAAAGGGAAGAAAGAAATATAGACAGACAACAAACTAGGGCACCTTTTGCTATTTTACACAAGGTGAAAAAGGAGTAGATACCTGAGCAAATTTTGATTTGTATGCAGTCAAAACAGTTTTCTGAAATGACTGAAGGAGTGTTTCAAAAACCTGAACGACCATAGTAGATAAACTAATTAAGAAAGCCAGGATATTAGAGCACCAAGCTAAGAAAGCATGACAATGGAGTTACCTGAATTAGACGGCCACTTTCTCTACAGGATTCAAGGTGTTCAAATGTAAGCACCAATAAACTATCTAACTTTTCGGCAACTAAGTTTCCACCAAAAAACCTTTGTATCAAAGATTCCCTAGTAAGCTGAAAACACAAATTTCTATAAGCCTTTGAAAGATGATAGTAAAAAATTGAAAACAAAAAGTAAGTCCTTGCACAAACTTAAAGATTATCTTGCTCCTAAAATTCACAAACCAGCCAAAATTAAGCAAGTAAATGTCTCCAACTTATCAAAATTTACACGAGTCTTGATGTCTAGCATTGAGGTCCTTAAAATAAAATCTAGTAAGGCTTGGTCCTCACAAGCGTTTTCATTTTCTGACACCACATAATGCACAACTTTTTTTGTAGATACCATTCCCAGCTAACTTAAGATGTGTGCTATCGAGAAATCAACTTGTTTTGCTGTAAACCATGGATTGAATAAATTTTACATAAGTAATGTGATGACGATTGCAGAGACAAGTGAAGAGGACAACAAAGATATTATCAATATGACATGGAAGAACATTAAACTAGGAAAACAATGGCATTCAGTTCAGGTTACAAGGTGTAGGAATCATGAAAAGCACCTCGTTGCCATCTTGTTGAACGTGATCTGAAAACCCCTCAAGGTCTTCCAGCTCCATATCAAAGATTCCTTTAGAGAAATCATCCTGTAAAATGTCATCCCACGCTATTTCCACCTGCATCAAGACCAAATAAAACAATATACGTTAGACCACTGAAAAGTCACTCTTCAGTTACTAACTCTGATGCAGCTTTGAAAAACTCACATCTAAATCTATTAGCCTATCCATTATTGCGACGAGCATTGAACCACCAACAAGTTTACCTGCTGCACCACTCTCTAATCTTAACATGTTCTCCACATACATCACAATAAACTGCACAGAAAAATAAGTGTAAAATTATAAGAAGTTCCAGACCAGAACAAGAGAAAGAAAACTAAAAACCATACGAATTTAATGCAGCTTTGTACACCAATGTAATTCGCCCAGTCCAAATGGTATTTCAAATTGACGAAGGTTCATTATACTGTATTCCTTCATTAAACTTCATTTTTAACACTTCAGAAGGTGCAAGTATCTTGTTTAGAAGAAGATACAGAATATTACTTATTAAAGTTTTAGTAAAAATTGAAGTCGTAATTATTTTATTTGGAAAATTAAAAGGAATAGCACGTCGTGAATTAACACACAAAGCCACGAGTTGCCTATGCACAAAGCATAACAATATCTGACAAGGCCATAATACTTCATTTTATTGTGCAGAACTCACAACAGATTGCAACAAGTCTCACAAGAATGACTTCCGACCACAAGGCAACTTAATAAAATTTGTACCGTGGCACTCATACGATGGAAGTAACATAACTAATCACAAATCCCTTCATGCAATCCACCTCCAAGCAAACATGGACAAAGACATCAATCGTGTGTGGAACTCACTAATATTAACAGACCGACCATAAGATAAGCTAATGCAACAAGATGGCTAACAAAAGGAGGAACCATTTGTTGTTGTGAATCAATAAGTGCACCTTTAGGGTGCTGTAAACAAAAGCCTAGTTTAATTATAGTATTAACATCACAGATTTTTGTGTGTGTGTGTGAGAGAGAGAGAAAGAGAGAGAGAGCCTTCCACGCTCCCTTGAGGTTGTAAGGTTGAATGTGAGACCTAGAAACTGAATACAGACAGTGATCATCAAGAAAACAGCCAAGGGTTGTTTTAATTGTATCTTACAGGTTCTTTTGTGTATATGTTTGGCATTCTATCCCTGGTTATCTTCTCCAGCCTCAAAGGAGTAAGAGGAACTAAATTGGCAATATCTTGAAAAGTTGAATGAACGCGATCCAGAACTTGGCGCTTCTTATCAAGTCCCCGTGGTTGCTTCAAGAATTCTATGAAATGAGCAGATGAAGAAGACGGCGGCATGAAATTGGTTACAAGCATTTCCAAGCACAAGTCAACATATTGTCCACTTGATGCAGCCTATATTATAAATTACAAACAGGAAGAAAATGGCACTGGATCAATTATTAAGTAAGGTCCTTAATAACTAACAAGAATGTTTGATAGAACATCCGCAAAACCTACATACTATCACATACCAAGGATGTTAAAACTTCAACCAACGCATCCATCACATCAGTCCCATAATTCCACAAGCTCATTCCAAATATCTGAAGTTCCAACCACCGACTAAATCAGAAAATTACCAATTAAGTATGATAATGAACATAAGAGTTCAGTGTTCATGTATTTTTGTTACTCACTGCAGCAAGAAGAGATTGATGATGAACAATGCGTACACAAGAAACTGCTCCAGTCAGAGCTTTCAAACACGTCTGCAATGCATAATATATTGAATTAAAGATAAAGCAAAATAAAGCAGCTCCTATCTTATTATTTATTATGACAACATACCACAAGAAGGGCCACCTCCTCAGGAACAAGACGGTCTTTATGGTGTATCACTGCAACAAGCTGGTTATAAAAGTCACGGTCGCCCTACAAACCAAAAAGATTATAAGATACACCATGTAATAAAATACCATTATATTTAAGTCTAGATTGACACCATAAAACATCCAAAACTTCAGAGAATTACTTCTAGTTTTTTTACCTGAACAGCAGCTTTAAGGGCATTCCTAACGTGATAGTCCAACTCCAAATCCGTGAAACTAAGTTCATCCATATCAGGTAATACCGTTTGTTGAGTCACCAACTCTATTCCCATTTGTCTCTTTTACACTTGAATTCACTACACTCCAATTCAGGTCTGAGGAACAATTCAACAAACACTGTAAACAATCGAAACTTATACTCCACACAAAATCTATTAGGAATTACCTCACATGCTTAACTATTACAAAAAATAAGTTAAACGCTATAAAACATTGAAAACATATGTATGCACCAGCTCAACCAAAAATATTCACTCAATTGAAAACGTATATATCAGAACAAGATTAGGATTTAGGATATGACAATGAACAACTATACCTAGCAGAAACCGAACTAAACAAATTTTAAAACTCCAACAGCAAAAATCGGGATATGACTGCATAAATACAATATATACGTGTATACGTGGTTGTGGATCCACCTGGGGTAAAGGAGGGAAGTTTCTCCCACTGCATTTAGGTCCTGGGTACCGATTACACTAAGAAAATCATAAACAAATACATCAAACAAAAATCAAGAGAGACGTTGTCGAGAAACTCTCTGTTGCGAAGGGAAGATAATATCACGAAACCAAAATTTTGAAAAATATATAAATTCTAAGGAGCTAGAAGACGAGAGATTCAATCATTCACAATCAGAACGAGTGCGAAATTAATATAAAAGATCGTTTTTACCCAGATAAATCTGATACTACCTTCCAAGTTTGATGGTGAACAAATTGAATTATCCCTGTAGAAACCACAGCAACACAGAAAAAATTGGTAGCAAAGGGCATATAAAAACGTCCCCCTTTTTCCCTCTCCTTCACAGAAAAGGTTAAGGAAAAACCCTGAACCTCTTTGTCCCCTCATGTTGCCCTAACAGGCCTGGTTGGTTTTTAATTGGGCTTTACAATGCTTATAAGAAAACACAACTCAATGGTATTCTACTAGTTTTCAAAATCCTAAAATTAAATTCTCTCTCCATTTTTAATTAATTTCGAATTACAATATCAATCATTGTTTCACTATCAAATTGTGATTGTGACATGCACAAATTTTTTTTTTTTTTTATAACCGTGGATGTTCGGGCCAACTTGCGCGCACATCTACTAATTCCACGGGGCCCTAAAGTTTACGGTCGGGTACTCACCTCAGTGACCCTGAGGGGACTCGAACTGGTGACCATTGAGGAGCAAACCCAAGGCTTGACTAATTGAGCAACCCCTCAAGGTTGTGACATGCACAAATTTTAACATGTTTTTTTGATGGAGTCGAGTATAAAAACCTCTTTTGCAAAAATTTCGAATAGACGATGAATGTAACTTTACTTTCGTGTTTGAAGTTGTATAAATGAGAATATACTTCCATATGTAACCTCATAAGTTACTATAAATACGACATGGATCTCAAATTTTGTTTAATTATTTGAATGGGATCCTCAATCCAGTTTGATGGTGTATGAAATCATCTTAGCAAAAATAGGTGACAACGAGTCATCAAATTTCATAAATAGTTGGCAACGAGTCATCTGGTTCAGCTACCAATGACATTTAAAGTTTAAGGTGCGAAAGAAGTTATTTATTTAAAAAAATTCGTCAGCTGAGTAGCTAAATCAGTTTCGTTATATTTCTTCCGTAAAATAAAATATTTCTCTAATAACTTCTTGTTATATAAAGCAGGTTTATATCGTACTTGATAATGCTAAAAAGGAACAAAAAAAGTCTAAAATCTTGTCCACTAACTCGAAAAAGTTTCCTGAAATATACATTCATGTATTCAGATATTCCAGAAACTAACTACGTACTTGGTAACAGTTTCAATAGTTTGTCAACTCAAACTTAAAAAGTTCCTTGAATTAGCTACAAAGCATGCGAAAAACACAGAGTCTAATTCCTCACTGGCTGCACAGAATGAGCAGTGGCTAGCATTTGAGCCATGATACTAGCATACTGAACAGCTGTATGCTGTGCTGTATATTGATCCGAAAGCCCAAACTCTGCAAAATTCGGTTCAATATGCACAAAATGACCTGGCAATGATCGTTTTGAGAGAGCTTCCTGCCACAAATCAAAGAACTCGCCCATGATTTGATGTGATTTTTCCCATGACGAAATGGGTAGATACTCCATCTGCAATAGAACAAGCAAATACTGAATACTCGTGGTTGATCGTCAATAGAAAGAGCAAGCACTTAAGAGTCACTTTCCAGTTAATTTTGTGGGGCATAAACTCAGTGCCCAGGCCTAAACGAGGATCAAAGTTGTTTGTGTGATATGCATAGCATAGGAAATAGCTAGCCAAAAATAATGAGAGCATTCTTACTGCTTTTCTGCCTTCATACTCGCATTCGAGTGTGACAAATCCTGATAATGATTTTTCCACTCAATTCAGATTTAGAATTTGATGATTTAATTGTAACAGATACTAGCACTGTCGCCATATGGTGAAACTTTTGATCCAAGTCTCATACCAAAGAAAAGCTAGCAAGCCGTGAGAATGGAGGCTTATTGATGAGCAATTTGTAATGTTAGAATAATGGAGAAGCAGTCGAACAGTTACAAACACGAGTACTCGAAAATTGTGGATATGAATAATATGAGCATATACAAAAGATATATAAAAGTTAAGAATTAAATTTTGATAATAAGCTGGTACGATTCTACTTTCCAACGATGCACTTCGACGCGTCAAACCTGATTCTAAATATCTGGGCATCAAATACTACCCCTTTCAATATTCACCCATTCAGAGGCTATGCCTTTTAAATCAATGTTATGATGCCCGATAAGAACATACTCAAACCAACTGTATTAGAAACAAAGCCAATGAGATATACACAAGAAACCTGGCGAAGCCTTTTAAAGTCTGTCAACAAACATGATGACGCCTTGTAAGTCGGTCAACGAAGGCAATGCTTTCTTATCTCCATTGACAAATCTAATCCAACCAAGGAGAAAGATAAGTTGATGTTCTAGTTACATCATATAACTATCTTCTTTTTTGATAACATGAACCTCAAAATATCTACCAACTTAAGAACCACATATTTGGTACCGTTTCTTTGATTGTCTATGCAAGAACAGTAATCAGGTGTTCCTCATAAGTACAACATTAGCAGCCACATGGTGAACATTGAGATCCACTCATTTTTCTTCATTAAAACATTACAATCTGCATGAGCATGTATTTTGGGGGAAGATTTGTGGAGAGCATTTTTGCGGAACATAGGAGTCACTTTCTCTGTTGAAAAGGTTTTACCAAGTTTTCCCTAAAAATCTCCTACCAAATCATTATTGATTTTACTGGCTTAAATTTACTTTACATCCCTGACAAGGATTTTAATGACTTTGTTTCCATAATGTACCTTAAAAATGTTCAGTTACTTCTTAGGGATTGACATATTCTTAGCTGTCTTATGATTGTGATTCCGTAATGTTTTTGAAATAGAACCCAAAAGACAAGGGGGAGAGAAAGAGAGAGAGAGACTATGAGCAAAAAAAAAAAAAAGATAGGAGAAGAATGGTAGTATTAGAAGAAAATGCAGAGGAATTTCATCATCATTGAACATATCAAAATGATTGTCTACCGTTAGACTAGGAACCACAAACACACTCAAAGATACAGGAATACACATGTAAAATACTCCTTTTTTTAAAAAAAAAAATTTCATACTACCTGAAGACACCATTACACGTTCACAACATGTTAAAAATATGCTGAAGGACACTCTTTTGATCACAATATAGTTTTATAAAAAGAAAATGGTTATAATGGTAATGGGACAAAATTATGGGTTCATAGGAGGAAGAAAATAGGAAAGAAAAATCGAGTTATACTTCAAACAAGAAAAGTGTAACGCATAATTAACCTAGATTCTTTTACCCTCTACACCGAGTCCTCTTTGAGCAACTAATATTAGGGAAAGACTCATGTGCATTAATACACTTCTGGATCCAACTCATCCTTGGCTGTTACGAAAGAAATCAGCTTTTCATTCATGCTAGTTATCTTAGAGCTATGAGTCAGAAGTAAGAACAATGTTCACCAACTCTTCTAAAGTAATTTTTTTCATAAATCTAAAACTTCCTTTTATGCACAATCTGTGTTCCATCTTCAAATTCCTAACCTCACTACCAAATCTTTTCAAATTCTCCTTTTAGTTGTGATTGAATGTCTAATGTTTGTATTCAACATCCTTACTTTCTCAACTTACTACGTTTCTGATTTCATGAACCATTGTTACAACCAAGTTTCTTGATTGAAATTTTCATATTCATTTACTACAAATCTACAATCTATTGAGCACCGATACAACACGGAACACAGACATGACAAAGCATCAACAAGCCAACATATAACTTTTCAAAGAAGTACATCGCTGACATGCTAATTAAAATTCTTTAAATTCATAAATTTATAGATCATGTCACTATTTGAATACTCTTTATTTTTCACCAAGATTAATGCGCTCAATGTAGATTCAATTTTAAGATATAAAAGGTATATCTTTTGAGTAGTAGCATGTATTTATTGTATTAAGATAACTTAGATTATACTTTCTATTACTGGTTCCAACAAAATAAAAAATTCATGCACTAGAAAGAGATACAATAGCATAAAACAATTTTTCAACCACAGATTTCATCAATTTATATCAAATTCTACTAAAAATCTTATTTTAATCCACACCAAACAAGGGCTTAGACATGAGGTCCATATAATATATCTCACATGTTGACTTTTTTACACTAATACTAAAATAATTATAATCTCCCTAATTTTATCTTCTGATATTCACGAACGGGACTAGTGTGTCCTTGATGTGTCGTGAAAATGTGCTCATGTACTGGCGTGTGTCCATGAAGTGTCCCCTTGTATATTGGAACTTTAATCATTATCTAGAAATAAGAAACATCGGTGTATCGAACAACTATTTAGGAATTAGGACATAGGACAGGCAAAGGAGTGTCAGTATTCAATGCATGTCGAACATCGAGAATGTTTTTGCTTCATATGCTTCCATAAAATATTCTTTCCATATCCAATGTGATCCTAGGGTGTTTCATCCAAC